AGTTATTAATTCATCGGGTGATATTTAGGTTATATCGTATCGTGTCCACAGAGATTGGTTATCTAGTTTCCATTTGATAAATCTATCTTTAATGAGTTTGGGGGTTGAATGAGTTATATGAAAAAGGTATCAACAGAAAATAAATTTAAAAAAAAACTATAAAGGATAGACAACTTATCTAGTACGAATATACACTACTCGTCACAAACTTAAATCTATCGTCCAGTTATACTCAACCTACGATACTAGTCTATGTCATCACGTACCACTCACAACCTAAGTAATTTCTAACCCAAATTGAGAGGCCTACTGTATCACCTCGGTAGTGATCTCTCAACCACCTCAACAACACATAAATCAACCGTGCTAATCGCGTCGACGATCTCTCAGAGCGACACAACCAACACAGAGGCATTAATCACAGATACCCAAGTGAATGTCAGATCTAAATCTATCTCTAGAATCCAGAAACTAACAGATAATCATCCTAGATAATAATTTGAGTAGTATATGTCTATAACAACCCAAATCCCTAATACAGAGTAAAAATCCAAGACAATAATCGACAAATATTCGTAAATAAAATTTTATATAACGCCATAGGCGACAAATATACATGATTTCAAAGTAAATATACATACAATAACCAACAAAAGATAAATACAACGAGACGAGAAGAGATAAACCACAAATCTTTCGGTTTGTCAGCGCCGATCAAAGAGAAATCCACCTCTAATCATCCATAAGCAAGATCCTAATGTTGTTTTCTAAGCTAATCTATACAAAATGAAGGTTGATGGAGTTGGGAGAAAAAACTTCCCCAAAACCATAACCAAAAAATGAACTAAATATATTTTTATAAAACTCAACTCAACAGATCGCGCTAAGCGGGCTCACTGCACTAAGCGGGACTTCTTTATTTTACACATTAAACCGGCATAAACCGCTCTATCCGCGCTAAGCGGGCTCCAAAACTTTGGTTCTTCCAAAATATCAAAATGCAAGCAGTGCGCTACAAAATGCGTTTAGCGCACTCGTGCTCAGCGGCCTCGTGAGCGCTAAGCGGGCTCTTGGATAGAACTTCCCAAAACTTGTATTTTATTCCAAAAACGCGCATCTGGAGCCGTGCCTTCGACACCTTATTCCTCAATGCTCCAAAATGAAACAAATACCTACAAAATGAATGGAAAAACATCAAACGATAAACTATGTACACAAAAACACAAATAGACACAAACTAAACGTATTTACACAAAAATCGGATTTATTCAATGATATTAACAATAAAGAGTCGGTAAGTGCAACAAAAAGTATATACAAAAATAACTACAATTTTAACTTATCATCTTTCATTCTTAAACCGCTGCAAAAACCCACTACTGTTGTTGAGAGACAACTTTAAGTCTTCCAACTCCCTTTATCGAGAGTAAATTTGTTTCATGTCGAAGCTTTGTAATTTTTGTATCAAAAAACATGATTCAAGTACATGTATTTAACCTGTGTATATATCTCACATCTCTACTCCTGTTAAATATGCTTGAGTTTAAAATCACAGACTAACACCCGCATATTTTAGAATCTTTAGCTACAATCACTTCACCATGAAAAATATTCAACATCCCATGTTCAATTATAGTTTAATAGCCTAGATCATCAAAATTTCTTATGAGTAACAAATTTTACATAAGCTCTAGAACATACCTCACATACTGAAGACGAAACTCACTATCAACAAACATTTTAAGTTTGATCGTACCAATACCACGAACCTTGCAAGCCTTATTGTCTCCAAGGAAAACTACTCCACCTTCATTCAACTTCATAGTCTCCAAATATTATTATTTTTTACACATGTGATAAGAGAAACTCGAGTCCCTGACCTAAAAATATTCAGACTCAAAACTTAACACCACTAGTACACATGCACTTTCATAACTATCCTCATCTAAGGCATCACTAATATGAACAGAATCATTTCCCCTTCTCTTGATATAATACATCATTAAGTGATTGATAATTTAACATGTAGAGAATTTTAACCTTGACTTGTCAAACCTTTTTGATTTTGACTACCATTATTTCCTCCTTGTGACACAATCAACTCTTCACCATTATCGTCAATATTCAAAATTTCCACCTTTCTTATTCACATGGACTTTATCCAAAGTAGTATCACCTTTATTACAATAAATAAGGGCATATTTTAAGTGCTCAAAGGATATGGGTGATAAGCTGAACAATAATAGATTCTTGTCCTCGTTCTCAATCTTCACCTTAATATTCTTTAGATCCTCAATGATCTTGTGAAATTTTGGCAATTGGTCGAATATGAATTTATTCTCTATCATTTGGAATGAGTAAAGTTATTGTTTCAAACACAACCAGTGAGAAAAATACTTTGTCACATACAATAATTCAAGTTTTTCCCTCATCGAAGTCGCGATATTCTCCCTGGTGATTTCTCTTAGAACTTGATCCTTGAGGCATATAATAATATCATCCTTGACCTTATCTACCATCTCAATTTTCTCTGTTTTTGTTAAACGTGCGGGCATTGATGCCTCATCCTTCAATAATTCAATACACTTCTCGTGAGTTAAGATTTCTTGCATCTTCACTTTCCATAACACAAAATTATTGTCTCGAGAAAACTTCTCAATCTTTCATTTATAATCCATGGTGATCACTTGTAAATAAAATCCCTTTGCATGGTGGGTGTCATTTATTGTGAAAATTCTAACAATTCTAATGAGTTTTTTTATAGCTTAAATCATACCAAACTATTTAATATGTTGGACAAAGAACAATGAAAAGCAAAATCTATGGCCTCGAGCAACACACTAACATGTTAAGAGTGAATGCAAATACACAGTAAGTTAGAAGAATCTAAAAGACAATAACACAAAGAAATTTATTTACCTAGTTTAATCAAACACGTCTACTCTGGAGGGTGATAGAAGCTTTCTGATTCACTTAACTTCTAAAAGTTGTTATAAGAGATTACAAAAGAGTTACAAAAAAAATTTACTTCAGTTCCCAATAACAAATCATATTTTTTACCAGTATTTGTGAATATTTCCAACTCTATATATGAATCACACAAGTCAAAGGTGTTCATAAGTGTTTCTCAATCCAGTTAAATGCTTTCAAAGATTTCCCAAATTCAAAGAACAGAATCATACGAATTTCTGACATTGTCTCTCTAAATTTTCCCTAGGATTGTCACCTCCTACATATATCTTTTAAATTACATTCTAAAAGTTATAAAGATAAGAATGATAGAGATATATATTTATAATTGCTTAAACACAATAGATCCTTAAAGGACTCAAAACACGACCCTTTAACAAAAGGATCGACAAAACAAAAAGACCAAACCCAGTACATGTGAATCGACTGAACCATACCAGATGCTTGAAAGACAAGAAATGCCCCGCTGAACCCATCCATTGTCATATGTGTTGGGAGAATTGTTAGGAGTATTGATACATAGTGTAGAACTAGACATCTTTGTGAGAGACACACCACTTGTCCACCTAAAACCTTAAGGTATTAGGTGAGTGGGTTATCCCACTTATATATTCTTAAGTCTCCATATTCCTATCCAATGTGAGACTATTTCCCCACTTACTCACACTTGAATTATGATTCTAACACTCCTCATCAAGTGTGAATCCACAATGCTCCTCCACATATACTTTACTGCCGTCTCCTTAAGTGTGAGTCCACAATGCTCCCTCACATATACTTGTACTGCCGTTGACACCTTACAACACGACACCTCTTCTTGGGCATTTCGCTACAAGTAAGTCGGTCCTTTTCTTGAACCAAAGGCTCTGAACTATTTATTGGGGGAGTTACTAGGAGCATTGATATATAGTATAAGACTAGACACCTTTGTGAGAGACACATCACTTGTCCACTTAAAACTTTAAGGTAATAGGGGAGTGAGTTTTCTCACTTATTTATTCTCAAGTCTCCACATTCCTATCTAATGTGGGATTATTTCTCCAATTACTCACACTTGAATTATTATTCTAATAATCTGGTCCTCCGTTGTCGTCGACCTGCCACCTCTGTCGTTCGCTGGAATGTCTCGTGACTTCGACTTCTTCTGTCAGACACTCTTACTACTTTTCACCTTTCTAATTTCTAACAATTTAAAAAAATCTAATTTCTAACAATTTAAAAAAAACATTTTATTTCTCTTCATCAGTCATGACTTTAAAACATATTTCTACCAAAAAAAATTAAATAAAAATTGTCATATATGAAAGTAGAACACATGATACACGGTTGATTGAAAGATTTCTTATAGAGATTAAATCATTTAGTTCAATTTAATAAAATCACTAATAGTGGTTGGCCCAAAAATTTAATACTCATATCTAGTTGATTACCGAACCAATATTTAATATTGTATTTCCGAGTCCAAAGCTGCACTATCAAACATGTAATGTAATGTTGGTTTGTATTGGTCTATTTAATTATATTTGTCGTAAAAATAGTATTGTTAAAACTCTTGGCTCCCTTAATCATACTATAATTTTGCTTATCCAAAAAAGTGACAGCTATCCAATATATATATATATATATATATATATATATATATATATATATATATATATATATATATATATATATATATATATATATATATATATATATATATATATATATATATATATATATATATATATATATATATATATTTATATCGGATAATAATTGGTGTGGAGAGTTTGAGACAAGAAATCAATACAAACAATACAATCAAATTTACTATAAATTTTGCGTTAATAAATTACATGCTCTAAAACTCCATAGGTGATCCATTGATTAAGCAAGAACAAGACCAAGTCTATGTAATCTACACCCTTTGTTTCCAACTTCTTAAACATCTCAATCAGATTAAATATCCTATAATCTTAACTACTCCACATCCAATTCCTCTCATTAACATTTCATACACTCATTCATCAACAAAGTTAATCAACAATATGGCTGACCAAGCTGAGATTGAACGTGTTTTCAAACGATTCGACGTCAACGGCGATGGCAAGATCTCTTTGGCAGAGTTTGCTGATGCTCTCAAAGTGCTAGGGCTAACCTCACAGGATGAAGTTCAGCGTAGAATGTCTGAGATTGATAAAGATGGTGATGGCTTTATTACACTTGATGAGTTGGCTGAATTTCAACGTTCTCATCCTAACTTGATGGTTGATATCATGAAGAAACTCTAAACTTTTTATCTCTTATTATTATCATCATTATCACAAATCATTCTCTTTTTCTTTTCATAAATAATAATTAAAGCGAGGAGATGATTTTAGGACAAATCATCCTGCTTTAATTCGTTGTTTATCATGTTTTGTCAATAATTAATTACTTTCAGAATTGTTTATTTGTATTATTGTATGGGCACCCTTTGGTTCATATATATAATACTCCTACAATTTTGGTTTATCTTTTTATGTGTGTTGTGTTAATTTCTAGTATTTAAATCGTTAACATTTTGTGATTAGTATTCATTTTCCTTACAAACCGAGCCAATTGATTTGCACAAGTTCTAATTAAAATCGTAAATCAATCATTATTCAAACAGGTAGAAAATATAAAGTTTTTTTTATAAACAATAGGAGCAATGTAATTAAAGGAGTATAAGGGATTCCTCCCATTTACATAAGAACAGTCACTCACATAAACTTTCACGGGACATTTGTGTCATAAGTAAAAATCTCTATAATCTTTAGAATTTATGTCAATTACATGTCAAAACCAAGATAATAATTTGACACTCTCCACAACATTTGATATTACAGACTTCTCGTTTTTAAAGATTACTGAATTTCTTGAGATCCACAGCGTTCAACAAGTTGCCAACCAAACGATCAAAATCTTTTTCGAAGAAATTATTCCCCTTAAAGCCTCATAAAACTGAAACAGGTGATGTACAAGCAACCCCTCGACGACTTGGTCGATATCCAACCAGCATGATACCTCCCTCCAGACCGCTTTAGAAAACACACAAGACAACATCCTCATATGATCAAGAGATTCTACCTCAACAGAGCAAAATATGCATAAAGATTCATTGCTATCATCAATAAAGACAATTCAAATAGACCATAAGTCATCAGTAAAATTTCTTTTTTTAAGATCTTCTTCAATTGATCATATAACAATAACAACATTATGAGGTCACTGTTGGGTGCAAGTGTGAGTCGTTATAATCTCACATTGCCCATGAATGGGTGAAATGTTGGATCTATAAGAGAATATCCATTTACCTAACACATCTTAAGGTTTTGGGTTGAGATATTGTATCTCTATCTTGTGGTCTTGAACCACTAGTCTCCTTGGTGCTCCAAACTTCCCCGGACCCCCCAACAGTGGTATCAGAGTCGTGGTTCGGCTTGGTGGGAGAGCGGGAGCTGGATTCGGTGTTATATCATGTTATAGGATGTGGAGACTCACACTTGTGATGGATAATGTTGAGTGCAAGTGTTGTCATACCCCAAATTTTTCCTACCCTTTTACTTTTATCTAGCTTATGCATGTTGCACTTTTTCATGTGTATCTTTCCATTAGGTCATATGATAAATCATGCATCATTAATCAATAATTTGGCATTGAGATCAAGGATCATAGAATTAGGATTTTTCTTATGGTTTTGAAGCTTTCCTCTTCATTCAATGGTATCAAGCTATGAAGGATCATTTTCATCAAGACTTCTCAAGTATCAAGAGTTTACAAGTTCATCAAGTCTTCATCAAGGATCAAAGGTATCAAACTAGGGTTTCATCATTGTTCATTGAAATGAAATCATCTGGAATTGAGGTTTGCTTCATCCACAACATCTTCAAGCTATTTTATTCATCAAGGCATTGGTTTGAGATCATTATTTGCAAGGCAATATGATATTTGATTGTGATACAAGTCAGTTCAAATTGATTGGAAGTTCATTGGTTCAATTGGAAAAAGTCAATAGACATGCCTAAAAGTCAAAGGTTGACTTTAGGGTTTCTTGGTCAAAGTTGGTGTTCAAAGTCAAGAATACAAGAAAAAATTGCATATGGATGAGAGTTGTCAAGCTTAATCATGAAAATCAATGAAACTAGGAAAAAGGGCAAGATTGAGGAAATTGGAAATTTTTCAAGCGTCAAAATTGCATGAGCACGTGAGTGACTTTTCACGGTTATTTCTCTCTCATTAATGAACCAAAATTTGCAATCAGGGACTGCTTTCAAATATAATATGGGATACTACATCATAGTTCAAGATTTGGATTCAAAATAAGTCCACAAGATGGTTCAAATTGGCCAAACACTTAGACTTTTGGGTTAAATATGTTTTTGGTCCCTATAAATATCTCAAATTTCATTTTTAGTCCTTATTAAAATAATAACATGTTTTAGTCCCTAAAAAATTATTATGCACATAGTTTTAGTCCCTGTTGTTAAACCAATGTGTATTTTTGAATGATTATTTTGTAGATATGTTTAGAAAGTTATAAAAAGTTCCTTGGAATAAAAGAAATTCAAAATTTGATTTCAGAGTCGAGATTTTCATTATTTTTATCAATATCTTTTGAAATTTAAAAAATCATATTTAATTCTTCTCATTTTAAAAAATTCTAAAATTTGATAAAGAAACATTTTATAGTATTCTAAACACATATGAAAAATATTATTCAAAAATTTAAAATTTTAAGGATAATTAAATAGTTTTTAAAATTTTAGAAAATAACAGGGACTAAATCTGGATGAACAAAAATTTTTTAGGGACCAAAATTTGTTTTTTTTTAATAAGGATTAAAAATGAAATTTGAGATATTTATAAGGATCAAAAATATATTTAACCCTAGATTTTTTTTCAAATTATTAGACGATTATGAAACATGAATTTTAAAGGCATGTATCTTTTTATCCATGCATCTTTTCAAAATATTTCCAACATCAAAGTTGCTCTATGCCACATTCTCTTCAATTTGAAATCAAAATGGGATCATTTGGTGCATTGTGCAAGAAATTATGATGTTGTAAAGTTGGCTTGCTAAAATTGAACCATTTCTAAATTCTATGTCCAACCATGTTCAAACCAGTTTTTAAACATCATTTCAAACATATTCCAAATGTGACCAAAATCATTTCAAACCACTTTCCTTTAGCCTAAACTTTTCCTTTTCATTACAAACTTGCTACCTCATCCAATCCACCACAAAATCACATTGAAACTCACTTGAAAAATCAGAATTTTGTTCAATGTTTTCATGCTAACCAACATGCCAAGTTGAAAATAAAAAATTATCATGCCTTGATCTAGAACCTTCCACTTGTGCCAGCTCACTTCCTCACCTCATAACAATGTTGTTCAAGCTTTCCCAATCCTCTTTCCAAGCCTGAATTATTTGAACCCGAGCCTAGCACCAAACCTCAATTCCAAGTGCAATTGAGATGTAACAAACTTTTACACCTGGCATAACTGTTTCCAACCCTCAGCTTCGGATCCAGAGCTAGCTCCAAGCCTAAATCATCACCTATATAACTTTCATTCCCTCTAATTTTCACCATAACCACCATTTCTCCAAAATTCACCAAAATTCTATTTCTTTTATTCTCTCTCTCTCTTTCTTCACTCCCTCTCAATTATCTTCATTCCTTCATCATCAACAACATATCAAGCTTCTTCTGTAAGCATTTTTTTAGGACAATTCACTCTAAAAACCTGACCAGCAACTTCACTTCATCATCAATGGAGTGAAATCGAAATCTCTAATTCTCAAAGGTTTTTTTAGGATTTCTTGATCCTATCATCATCTACAAGTCCTAAGTGAACTTCTGTAAGTATTGATTTGCATCTGGATCTATTCAATCAAGCATTTCCACTTCATCTTCTTCCTCGAGCAAGGTGACTTGGTCAGAATAATTCAAGCATATTCAAGAAAAACTAATAACTGATTCTTGCTTATGGCATCTCTTTAAAGCTATCTTGTTCATTATCTTGTCTTAATTCACCTTGAGAAGGCGCATCGGACGCACTCTTATTAGTAAGTTTTCTCCACTTTCTCCACTTGCGTTGATGTTGTGATGTAAAGCGCTAAGGTTTTAGACATTTATCTTGGATCTTTAGAATTTAATTTTGAATTGATTGAATTAGGGTTTAGGTGATTATTTCATGATTTCTTGAGTTACAATTAGATTCAGTTTAATCCATTGGCATATTTGAGTTCCTGGTGAAAATCTAAGCAAGATTATTGTAGAAAGTTTGGTGTTTTGGTGCTTGCCACCATCGTTCATGGTGGAGGTGGTGGCCGGAGACGAGGAAGAAGAAGAAGGAGGGAGGCACACACTTATTCCTTCATTGTGAATTCTAAATTTTGGCGTGTCATCATCTGATTGGTCCATGCATTTTATTTTTTATTTTTATTTTTAATATTTGTTTAATAATTTTGTTTATTTATTTAATAATTTTGTTTATTTGTTTTAAATAAATAATAATGAAAATAGAGAAGTGATGTGGATCAGGCTTTGACAAATTCGTGTGGGCTCACTTTTCCCACCTCCCTCTGGTACATTACTATCCTTTTTGTTTGAACTAGAACAAACTTTTTTTGGTATAACTGTTTTGGGCTTAGCTGTGTGGGCTTGCTTTCTCTTTGCATATCATGTTTTCACTTCACACCTCTTCATTCCTTTTTTATTATTTTAATTCTAATAGTTTTTTCAGTTGTTTTCATTATTTTTAATTCCTAAAAAATCTAAAAACATTTTAATCTTGACTTTTATTTTTTATATTATTTTTAGTATTTTCTTTTAATATTTTTGCTATTAATTCATTTTAGTTGTTTAATTGATTTTAATTAAAAAATGTTGATGCCATGATTTTTGATTTTTTTTCTTGAATTGTCTTGATGAAATTTGAACTAGATCTTGTGGTTAATTTCTCATGATGATTTGCCTTGCTTGATGCCTGATAGTTGTTTTAATTGCTTGCTTGTTTAACATGCTCCCTTAGAATTTATTAATTTGATTTTAATCTCTTGATTAAATTGAATTAATATAGACCTTATGATTTTAATTCAAGCATGATAACATCTAAGTAGAATTTTCCTTCATCCCAACTCTAGGTCCATGGTGCATGACAATATTAGGATAAACTTTCCCCTTTATCTTTCTTCTTTTGTATTGCATCCTTTTCATTTATAAAAACAAAATCTTTTTCATTATCAAATTCAAAATAC